GCTCCACTTTGTAGTCGGTTTCTATTTCAGGCGAAAAGAAGCGCTTGTTGTGCATGTAACTCAGCTCGGAGTACACAAACCCGCGCAACAGGCAGAGCGGCCCTCTTGGGTTGATGAAGGCGCGGCTCTCTCCTATTTCAGTGCTTTGCATTTCTATGGCCTCGTCAAAGGACACTCTCGCGTGCGCGCAGTGCATCAGCGCTGCAATTACAAGTGCATAATATTTTGCGTTCATGATCAGAGGCAAAAAAAGATGTATATATACGTTGCAGATACCCCCACCCCGGGCGGGCTGGCCTATCAGAGGAGGTGCATCGCGCAGCGCGTGGGCTGCATGTAACTGGCCAACTGATCATCAAAAATGTGGCGAATTATTGGAATTTCACATGATCGGAGACGGCCGAGATCATGATAGGTGTTTCTGATATGGATGCGAAAAAATGAAATCACTATTGATCGCGCAAAGCATAAACACGCGAGTAAGTTCAATTTTACGATGCACAAACATAAGAAGAGCATACCGTTAAGTCAGTTGATAATCGACAGCCGGGGTCTCCAAAGGTTAGTAAGTCTCTACTGGAACTGGCATTAGCCTCTGAAGCAAATATGCCCGGATTTATGACAAAAATGATGGTGTGGCAACCGTGCAGATTCCTCTGCAAAGTGTGCAGTTTTGCACTGAGCCAGCAGGGTGCTGTCTGGCCTTGTGTGTTCAGAGCCAGGAAGGCTGGCAGTGTAGTCGTCTTTGTTTGTTTATTAATTTTCTGTGCGAGCGCTGCTTCCAGCGGGCGAAGAGAATGGGTTGGCGCACTAAACAGCTTCCTGCGGCACGGTGTTTTGGCAGCCGACAGATGTGGCGGGGCGTATACTTGGGCATCCTTGCCGTTCTGGGCGCTTTGGCGTGGCGGGGTGTGTGGACAGTCTTGCTGCAGGAAAAAGAAGAAAAATAAAGTGAACAAAATATAGTGTTCTGGAGAGGCTGGAGAGAAAAAAACTAGAATGAAGAATTTATTTTTGGCGTATGTTGGCATTATAGTAGAAAAGACACAAAGGCATATGGTAGAGAGATGAAGCGAGAGAAGACACGAAAGGGCAGTTTGATGCAGGGAGGTATGATCTCAGGATTGGAGGCTCTGTAGAGTACGGAAGGTTTGTTGTTGCGCGTACGGAGGCATTCTTTCTCTCTGAGCTATGTAGAGAGGCAGAGAGTGAGTCTTGTTTTTATTTCTGTGCGCGGGAAAAGGGAGAAGAAGCACAAATGTGCAGAAGAAGACAGCAAGAACAGGGTGGGTAGAGGCCAATAGCGCGCAGATCACAGAACAGCTCGATTCTGTGCAGAGAAAGCATGCAAGGCTTGTAAACGACTTGCAGGGAAGTAGTGCGAATTTGCGCGCTGCGATGGGAAACCAGGAAAAGCCTTTGGCAGAGCTGCAAGAGGTAGAGGCGCGCTTGGAGCTTAAGCCAGGCATCCTCCTGTCTGCAGGGTTTTTTGGCATACTCTGCCCGAGCATCCAGCTGTCAAAAAGAGGAGGCCGGAGTCTCCGATGTATCTGCACATGTTCGGGTTCCTATATCCTCTAAAAGACGTCCCTGCCGAGTGGGCACTGATTCTGCTGGAGTGTTTGAACTGGTACAAAGAAACAGGGCGCCCTGTGCTGCATGCAGACATTCTGTGCCCGAATTGGGCGAATTCCTTAAGCAGGGCACAGCAGAGTATGTCCGCTCGTTTTATGAGCTTTTATATGAGGATGCGCAAATCTGCAAAATAGCTATGAAAGGGCAGCTTGAGGAAAGCGAGCGCGAGTTTAGCACGTACATGTTGCTGTTGAGAATTCGGGGTTATTCGGGCCCTTAAGCAAGGCATGCGGGAAAGAAGGCGAGCCCCGAATTACTTGCAAGCTGCACCGTCTTGCTCTTCCAAGGCTGCGGGCGGACTGCCCAATATTTTGTTTGAGCCATCCAATAGAAAGCCGCGGGCAGGGTGCTGGAGTACTTTAGCCAAACGCGGAGGCCCTGTGGAAATCAGGGAGGGCAGGGCTTGGCGCGGTGCGGGTATTTTCGCGCCAGCCAGGAGGTTTTAATTGTCTACCCTAGAAAGCATGCTGCTTTTTTCGGCGCATGCAGCGTGCCGTGCAGGAGGTGGTTCGCAAGCTTTCCGGAGGCCGGGCGTGCTGTGTGCCCGAAGGGCAGTTGATGTTTTGCGAAATAAACGCCCTTTCAAGATCCATGCTGGGGGCTGGGCATTGTTTGAGCATTGGCTGGGGCAGGGTTGGCTGCGCGACAAAACAGTGGCAAATTGTGCCGTGGCTGTTTGAGCAGGCCGAGAGTGAGTAGAAAGCAGTGTTTCGCGTGGGTATCCGCACATGGCAGCTAGTTAGCAGAAAAAGAGGAAACGAAAGTTTGCTGGGCATTCCTCATGCAGGCAAAAAGAAAGTTTCAATTAAAGGCGGAGAGGGCGGGGCTGAGGGCAAAGCGCGGCTGCCGCAGGGAGGCCTTGGGACGCCTATGAACGCGTCGAATCTTTTAGAAGTTCTTTCTTTTTTGTTAGCACAAATTGTATAAAAACGCAGCACATGCACAATGCCCAAAGAAATTATAAACCCGGTGCACAGGCACATTCCTCTGGCCGGAAGCAGCGCGGGCATAACAAAGCAGTTTGCAATGGCTTTTATTTGTCTGCAGCCCAGAGGGCGCAGGAAGGCCGCAGGCCTTGTGCCTTTCCTCTGGTGCGCGCATGCGCTGCGGCTATTCATTCTGGTCTACTATGGACTGGAGCATGCCCACCACGCTGTTGAACACTTCTTCTCCGCCGGGCACCTGCGACAGAGCGCTCCGGCGCATCTCCAGATCCTGCAGAAACGCAGAAGCTTCATTGCTGTCTATATAATAGCTGCGTCTGTACGCGTCGATCGAGTTTAGCCCAACCCTTCTCCACAGAGCAAGCACCAGCTCGGACGGGGTGTCTTTGCGTTTCAAGCTGGCGAGGAACAGGAGGAGTTCGAAGATTTCCTTGGCGTCTCGCGCCATCTCCAGATGTTCTTCTTCCACATCCACAATAAGCTCGCAGATTTTGTCAATGCGGGCCGTTGAGTTGTCTACAAGCAAAAGAGAAAACAAAACATCGATGTCGAAACTCCTTAATAGTGGCTGGCACAAGAAAAGAGGCTGGCCTGCTTTATCTTTGTACTCTGTAAGGTACTTCATGATGGCATTTCCCGCGGGCGCGCAGTTGGTTCCGGTGTACTTCCATATGTCGATAACGTTGTATGGGTTTCTATAGAATATAACAAGTCTTCCCTTTGACAGGCCGATTTTTGGAAATAGCCTGCCCAGCATATCCAGGCATACTATATTCCCCAGCGAATTGCGCTGCGTTGCATTGTCCTCCAGCGGAAGGCTGCCGAGCAGGTTCGAGAGGAGGCGCACGCCTGGGTGCTCCTGGGTGAGCTCGGTGCCTTTTGCTGCTGCATGGAAGATGAAGTCCTTAGTGATTGCGAATGTCTGGTCCTGCTTTAAAGCCAGCCCCAGCACCAAAAGCTCGTTTGGGTGCTCTGGGGCTGCATCTGCCGCCAGGCGGCCTGTGGCCTCCCGTATGCGTTCGGCAAGCATTTTCCCTCGAGGATCCATGCCCCTGGCCCTCCACGCGTCTGCGTACTTGGCAAGCAGGCATTCAGCAAAGTCTGCAGGCTCTGAGTAGCTGTCCACCGCAAAGAAGGCCTCTTTTTCTTCGTCCGTAAAAGAAAGAAAGACGCACGGGCACAGAGTAACTGTAAGATGTCCAGGCTTAAAGGCAAGGCATATGCCCTGCTCGACCACGCTGTCTTTGTCTGTGTACTTCAGGGTGATTTTTCCATAGAGGTCTTTCTGCCCGTCGCTTCGGGCGTCGACCATCAAGTCAGAAAAGCTGACTTTTAAGGATTTATCCACGGAGAGCGACGCGAAAAGCTCTGCCATGTACTTTTTTGTTTTTTCAAACACGTCTCCAGAGGTTTTGCCAATCTTGCAGCCTTCTAGCATCAGCTCAAGCTCGCGTATTCTCGGCTCTTCCTCCTTCTCTCGCCTGCCTGCTGCCTCTGCGACAACGTAGAGCACGTTGAAAATTCCGGAGCGCACCTCGTTTCGGCTGGGCCTTACATACGCGATGTGCTCGCTCTGCAGGTCAGACACGACGCGGTTCCACTCCTGCATTGTCTCTTTGGTGGCGCACACCTTTGGGCTGACGCCCTTCAACTGGAAGAATTTGCGGAGGGCCTCTGTTGTCTTGTGCCCTTTTTTCTTGCCGAGCATGGCGTCCGCGTCGTATTCTTTCTGGTCTGGGTCGTGTGCAAGGCAGCAGAAGAGCGCAAACAGGCCGGTCTCCACGCAGTTGCTGAAGGTTTCCTCCAGAAACTCGGTTTGGCCTCTCTTGCAGGCGCGCACGCTTGTGTACGCCGGCAGCATGCTCGGGCTGGCGAACGGGAACGTCTGTAGAATCTCCATTTTTGTCTGAATCATCCTAAGCGGGCGCAGAAGCTCGTCTTCTTCAGCCTCAGCCTTGCTCCCCACAAAGCACGCGTTGTATACGTCTTTGCAGCTGTCTTCTGGCAGGCTTGTGAGGATGGCGTGCGCACACGCTGCGAAGTCCAGGGCGTCGCTCTTGCTCGTGATGTACTCAAAGACGTACGCCTGGATGAGGAACTGCGGCGTGTTTAGAAAGTCGCCGGTGTTGAAGTCGCTTTGCGTGCCCGGCAGCTTTCCTTTCCCTTTGTTGTCTTTGAAGAAGTTTATGACTTGGGCAGCCTTTTTGCACGAGTCTGCTCCAACTTTTATGCTGCCTGTCTCCAGTGTGATTGTTTTCTGCGTGGCCTTGATGGGCACGTCTATTCCCTCGCTCAGCAGAAGGAGCGCAGCCAGCACGCAGTGCGCGTGTTTGCTGGGCATTCTCTGCAGAGCCTGGAAGAAGGAGTCCTCTCGGGCGACAGCCACGGACAGAGTTTGCCCGTCGACAGACGGAAACATCTCGATGAGGGTGCGGTGGTACTCCTTGGCGTAGTCTGTGCTCGCAGGCTTGGAGCCCAGAGCGGGTCCCTCTGCAGACGGATAGGGTTTGTCATTCTGCGCTTTTCTTGTGTATGTGTGGCCCCATATTTTTTTAACATCCTGACCGGGCTCCACTTTGTAGTCAGTTTCTATTTCAGGAGCAAAGAAGCGCTTGTTGTGCATGCACGCTAGCTCGGAGTACACGAGCCCGCGTAGCAGGCAGAGTGGGCCCCTCGGGTTGATGAAGGCGTTACTCTTTCCTACTTTAGTGTTTTGCACCTCTATGATCTCATCAAACGACACTCGCGCGTGCGCGCAGTGCGCCAGCGCTGCAATTGCAAGTGCATAAAATTTTGCGTGCATGATCAGGGGTAAAAAACGGTTTTATATATATACGTTGCAGATGGGTCCCTACCCCGGGCGGGCTGGCCTATCAGAAAAAACAAAGCGGCACAGGGGCTGCATGAAACTGACCAACTGATCATCAAAATGATGGTGTGATAACTGCACAGCTGTCTCTGCAAAGTGTGCGTCTGCATAAAGAAAGCCGGAGTGCTGCCTGGGCCTCTGTGTGCAGAGCCAGGAAGGCTGGCGGCATGGCCGTGCGATGTTTGTTGCTTAATATCCTGTGCGAGCGCTGCTTTCTGCGTGCGGAGAGAATGGTTTGGCGCACTAAACAGCTTCCTGCGGCATGGCTGCTTCCAGTGCGCATGACTTATTTCAGAGCCTTGCCTTTTGCGGAGTTTGCAGAAACAAAAAGAAAGTGGAGGGCACCTCTTTATTTCTAGTTTTTGCAGGGCAAACAAGCAAAAGCCTTTCGGCCTAGCTTTCTTCGACCGGCTCAGACCGCACATGAAGTTGTTTGTGCCTTGTGCAGTCCCTGCGCGGCAGCTTTTTATTTGCGTTCACAGCGCAAAAAGAGAAGCCTTTCTTGGAAGAGCGCACAAGACACAAACAATATCATGTGCGGGTGCTTCCACGATCAGCTGATCGCTGGACAGTGCTTAAGTAAACGTGCATTTTTATTCAGAGATGAGGTTGTGCTTTGGAGTGCCATTATGCGGACTGCTTTCAGCCATGCAGATGGCAAAATGCATACATCTGACACACAAAGAGATGCTGGCGTGCCAGAACAAGGAGGTGGGCCACGTGGGCGGAGAGCCCGTGTATGTGAACACGTGCTGGGGCGGGCACCCGGTGTGCATAGCGCAGATTTGCCGGCTGGGGCATGTGTACAAAATGCGAGCGTACTCGTGCAAGGTGAACACAAGCTTCAGTCTGGTGCCGAACAGGTACTTAGGCAAGCATACATATACGAGAGAGCCGGAGAAGGACTGGCTGCATTCGGGAATGGATGCTCGCAAGGGTAGATACAGCGTGAAGTTCCACAGGGCGCTGCTGCAGATGTTTGGGCTGCGGAGATCCAGCGGGTCGGAGTACGACTGCCTGACGGTTGGGTGCGCGCGCGCAGGCTCTTTTATTCAGTTCCTCCGGGAGGGCTGCAAGACGCAAACAGAGGCGCACTATGTGCTGGCAGCGCTGCTGCTCCTGTGCGAGGGCGTCGACGTGCCGATTGAGACAGCTGGGAACAGAGTGATTATAAAAAAAAGAAAATGCAGCAATGGCATACTGGTTGATGCCCGCATGGGAGGGGCAGCTTTAGGCAGCAGAAAATGGCAGGGTTCCGAGGCTTGGCAGGTGATAAACTTCTTCAAGCAGTACAGAGGCACACACAGGCTGCCGCACACATATAAAGAGTTTAAAATGGGCGATTTTCTGAGGAGCCCGCAGCTTCTGATTCTCACGTACATAGGCGAGTACGTGAAAAGCGCAGAGGAGCTTATGTCTGTGATGGGGTGTGCGTTCAAGCTTGTGAAAGGCATGGGGCTGGCTGAAAGCTTAAAAAACCCAGGAAGCGTGGTCGGGCGGCTGTTTGTGCCTGCGAGCCGGCTGCCCGAGGCCCAGGCGTATCTCGCGCCGTTTCTAGAGACGTTTCCTGCTTTAGCGGCCTTGGAGCATTTGGAAGAGTTTAAGCACTTTCAAAACGAAGCAGAGGCACCGAATAAAGCAAAAGATGCCTCAGACGGGGAGGAGGAATACTTTGACGCCCGCGGCACGAACTGCAGGTTTATTGGAGAGTGCTTTCTCTTGCCGTTTCTTGCGTTTGACTCCGAAAACCACGCGTACAGCCTGGAGGGCCTTCTGAGCGGGGCCGAGAACACGGAGGAGGTGGAGAAAACCAGGGCGTTTTTTGGTGAGCTGCAGGCGTGCATTGAAAAAAAGTGCTCTTCTTTGGGGTTTCCCAATGACACACAACAGCAGAGGTACAGGGACCTGTGGCTCAAGATGAACACGCAGTTTAAGGAGGCGCTGGGGAATGCCGCGCCGACATTCCTAAACAAGATGCGCGTGCTTGCGCAGATGGCTGGGCGGCCGCAGGCCGTGGTGGACGAGCTGGCGGCACATCAGGCGGCCATGGATGCGAAAAGAAGTACAGAGCTGACCCCCAAGGCGATCGAGAGCGTTCAGGCGCTGCTGCGCTCGATAGCAGTGGATAAGCGCATGGAGGTGACCATTAAGAAGCAATTGGATGGGTCAGAGCCCAAAGGCTATCTTTTTATAGTAAAGCATGTGAAAATAGGCGCGCGTATCAAGCAAATTCTGAATCTGTCGTTCCGTAAAACAAGCTCCTCGAAGATATCTATTTTGCTGCCATGGTTTAGCGCTTCTGAAAGCTTGCAGAATGAGCTGGGCGTGGCGCCCGCAGAATACAGGCAGCATAAGCGGTTTTCGAGCTTTGTGCTTGCGGAGTGCATGCACCAGATGGCGATAGGGGCAGCCGCGCAGAGCTTTTCATACACAACAACTAAAGAGCTGCAGAAGGCCGCGAAAAAGGCTGTAAAGCACAGCGCGCGCAGGCCGAATAAGGTGCTTTTGGCGTTTCCGGTTGCGGGCAAGGACATCAGAAAAGAGCTTGTCTCTGCGCTTGTGCTGTATACCGAGCAGAAGAAGATTGCGCCGACTCCAAAACATCCAATAAGCCGGCTGGTTGCAAACGTGATAGGGAGCATCGACCTTGGCGCCATGGCAGCGCAGTATAGGGTCTTGGGAGTGCCTGTGGCCACCGGGACTCTGCATAATTTGTGTCCAAGGGTGCAGCTGTCTGACAAGCTGCATCGGGAGATTTGGTGTTCGCAGAAATTTGCCAAATATGACGGGCTGTATCCTGCCAAAAAGGCGAAAGTGCTTAGATACAAAAGCATGATGCGGTATTTCCGGGAATACGCTGTGAAGGCAGGTGAGCCGCTGTACATGTGCGAGATGCTGAAAGATGCTGCTGAATACAAAAGTAATTGCACGTGTCCATCTGCGGCCGATCCGTGGAAAACGCTGAAAGATATCTGCGTGCTTTTGCGGGCAGATCACACGGGGGAGGATTTGCAGAGGGCCGAGGAACTGATTGCGCGGCTGCAGCATCTCTGGAATAACCGCTTCCAGTATATGAAGAGGGTGCCGAAAATACAGTGTAAGACTTCCGCCAGAAGTGTGTTGAGCCAGAAATGAGTGGCGCAGGAAATGCTCCAATAAAAAGAGTGCTCTTTTCTGCGCCCACTCTGCAGAAGCGCTCACTGTCTAAAATATGACGGTGCGCAGCCAATAAACATGATCCATTAGACAACCATTCAGCGTGCAGTGCGGAGGAACAGGCGGGGCTTTTCAAAGCCTTGGCTGCTTTGCGTGTTTTCTCTGTGTTTCGCCTATTTTCGGCAAATTCTTTTTGTGCTTTTTCTGCCTAGCGCCAAGTGCAGACAAAACTCTGTATTTACTGGGCTCTTTTGTGTATTTCTTCTGTGCGCCCAGCAACGTGCCTTGGCACACGCTTTCGTGTCCGAGCTGCGAAACCCCCCTGCTGTGCTGGCAGCCGGCTGAGAAAATTTTATTTCCCTTCTTCAGGCTTTTGGAAGGAAACTTTTGATTTGGAGGGAAATGCATCGGGGTGCATTTCATTTCCTTTTGTGCGCTATGTCTGCAAGTCCCGAAAGACCCTGGGCCAGCCTGGGCGCTGGGGTGGGTGTGCACAGGGAAACAATCAATAAATCAAGTGGGTATATTTGTCTGTTGTTCTTTGGAGAAGCAGAGGCTCAGGAGCAGGAGAGGGCGAGTGCTTTGTCAGTCCGCACCTTGCTGCGGAATGCTGCGTGTTTAGTGCAGTTTATGGACGAAGTCAGGAAGGGAGAAAAAGAAGAAAAATAAAGTAAACAAAATGTAGTGTTCTAGAGAGGCTGGAGAGAAAAAAACTAGAATGAAGAATTTATTTTTTGGAGTGTTATGGTGGTGTAGTATAGTAGAAAAGACAGAAAGGCAGAAGTAGAGAGATGAAGCGAGAGAAGACAGGAAAGGACGGTTTGGCGCAGGGAGGCGCGTGCTCACGTTTGGAGGGGCTCTGTAGAGTATAGGAGGGTTTCGGGTGCATATGGGGCTTTCTTTCCCTCTATGCTCTATGTAGAGAGACAAGCAGGAAGTCTTGTTTTTATTTTTGTGCGCGGGCAAAGGGAGAAGGACCACACACGCGCAGAAGGAGGGAAAACAGAATGCACAAGACGGCGTTTTAAATAGAGCAGGCATGCTTGGGTGGGTTAGATGGCAGTTCCGGGCGCGGCAGATCGCACGGCAAGTCTTGTTGGGAAACAGGGCAAATAGTGGGCAGTAGAGGCATTAGAAGAGAGGCTGGAAACAGAGAAAGCAAAGGGCAGGGCATAGAAGTGCAAAGAGAGGCCTGGTAGGGGCTGTGGCACAGAGAGAGCCCGGCTTGTGAGTCAGAGCTTTAATCATGTGCAGAGTGTGCGTGCATATTGCATGCTAGTATAAATTATATAAATGTGGCGAATTCTCTGAATTTCCACACTATCGGAGACGGCCAAGATCATGGTTGGTGTTTTTGATATAGATGCGTAAGAACTGAAAACAGTAGTGATCGCTTATAAGCATAGTTACGAGAGAAATTTCAAAAAAAACGCACAGAAATTCGAAGAGCATAAAAACAAGTCAATCTAAAGCCGACTGCCGGGGTTCTCCAAAGGTTAGCAAATCTTTACCGGAACTGGCTCTAGACCAGGCTCAGGTCTGCCCCGTATTTATGACAAAAACAAATTGCGCATGCAAAGTGCCAACTTTGTATAAGCTGCCCGTGCATATGCCTGCGTTTTGTTTTTGTTGCCAGCAGGCACAGAGCCTAGAGCGCGCAGCGCTTTTCTAGCTCTAAGAAGCGACTTTTGCCCGCTTGGGAGTTTGGCAGCTTTTTTATTTTTTCCATGATCAGCTGATTTCTGGGCAGCATTTAAACGAAAAAACAATTTTACCAAAGATGAGATTGCTATTTAGTTTTCTATGTGTGCTGCTTGCGGCAGGGCAGATGGCAGTGTGCATATGCATGTCATACAATGAGATGCTGGCGTGCCTGAGCAGGCCTGTGGGCCGCGTGCGTGGGGAGGACGTGTATGTGTGCCCGGGGTGGGTGGGGCACCCGGTGTGTGTAGCAAAGCTAGGATGGCTGGGGTACGTGTACAACATGCGGGCGTACTCGTGCGGGCTGGCCACGAGCTTCAGTCTAGTGCCGAGGAAAGAAAACGGAAAAGAGGTGCACACGTACACGCGAGAGCCGGAGAAGGACAGGGCGCGCCTTCCGGACAGCATTGCGAGCGCGGCAGCGTTTGCAGGAGACGAAGGGTACAGCATGCAGTTCCACCGGGCGCTGGTGCATATGTTCGAGCTGCAGAAAGACGGCGAGTCGACATATGACCGCCTGGCGGTTGAAACTGGGCGGCCGTGCTCTTTCACAGAGTTCCTCCGGGAGAGCTGCAGAACGCAAAAAGAGGCGCACTGCGTGCTGGCTGCGCTGGTCCTGCTGAGCGAGGGTGTGGACGTGTCGATTGAGACTTCTGGGAACAGAGTGATTCTAAAAAAAAGAAAAGACAGCAATGACGTGCTGGTGGACGCATATATAAGCGTACCAGCCATGGACAGTGGAGAAATCCAGCCATCTGAGGCGTGGCAGGTGGTAAACTTCTTCAAGCGGTACAGAGGCACACACATGCTGCCGAGCACATACGAAGAGTTTGAGAAGGGCAACTTTCTGGAGAGCCCGCAGCTTCTGATCCTGACATACGTAGGCGAGTACGTAAGAAACGCCGAGGAGCTCATGTCTGTGATGGAGTGTGCGTTCAAGCTTGTGAAGGGTATGGGGCTGGTTGAAAGCTTAGAAGACGCGAACAGCGTGGTCAGCCGGATGTTTATGTGTGCAGAGCAGCTTTCCAAAGCCGAGGCGTATCTGTGCCCGTTTTTGGGCGCGCAGAAAAAGATGGAGAAGGCGCGGGTCTTTGGAGAGCTTGTGCATGTGCAGAAGCATCTAAACGTATTGAGATATAAAAGGGTTGCCAATGAGTTCAATTGGGGAGATCCCAGCATAAACAGCTTTCCTGAGTCTGAAATCTGCCCAGAGTACAGCGGGCTCAAAGAGGCAGACAATTCTGACGATTCAGACATGCTGCAGAGCACTATAAGTGGCCCAGCTAATCTTGAATCGTGTGCAAAGTTCGAAGACCCGGCAGGTGCATTGTGCTTGCTTCTTCTATGCCTGGCGTACAACCCGAAGAAGATGGAGTACAACCTTCAAGGCCTGCTGGAGCGCATTAAGCAGGCAGAGGTGTCGGCGGAGGTTAGAGCGGCAATTCTGGCGCTGCAGGCCTATGCAGAAGAGCGCACATTCTTCGGGACATTCAACTCATGCAATTGGGCAGGGAGATATGGTGGTTGTGGGCCGGACATAATTGAGCGACTTAAACAAATTTTGGAGGCAAAAGAATGGAGCATTCTAGGCTTGATGCGCGAGTTTGCCACGAAAACCGGGCAGCCGCAGGCTGTGATAGATGGGTTTGTGCTGCCATCGTGGAGTCTGTCGGAAGCGCGTGACAATATCTCAGACGCCGAGGCGCTAAAGCGCATTAATTCGGTTGTGCGCCCGCTGGCTGCGCACAAGCAGGTGAAGATAAAGGGCGTGCACTATCTAGACAAGTCGAACTGCAACCGCTATGCGGTCATAGTCAAGCATCCGCATGAGGACAAAAGGTGCAGGCAGGCCTTCAAGGTGGCTTTCAGTGACGGTTACATTATGAGCTATGTGCAGCTGCCAGACCCTTTTCTTTCCAGCGACGTGCTGAAAGAAATGCGCTGCCTGGCTGCGCTGTACAGACAGGATGCGCTTTTTTCCAGCTTTGTGTTTGCGGAGTGCGTCGACCGAATGGTGTTGATGTGCAACCAGCGCTGGGGCCACAGTCTAGGTGTTGTATGCTGAAAGCATAGTTGCTCGTGAGTGTTATTGCTTAGAAGGGCATAATCGAGGGGCTGCACAGCTTAGATATTAAGGGATGGATTAGGCAATGTATATGTAGACAGGTCGAGAAATGATAAAGGACAATGTTTTACATGACTATTTCCTGTATTAAACCCACCGGCTTGGGAATTTGGCAGAGTTTTCTATTTTCTTCCCATGATCACCCGAATTTTGGGCAGCATTTAAACGAAAAAAAAAGTTTTCCAAAGATGAGATTGCTCTTTGGTTTTATATGTGTGCTTCTTGCGGCAGGGCAGGTGGCAAGATGCAGAGACATGGCGTTCAAAGAGATGCTGGCGTGCAAAAGCAGGCCTGTGGGGTGTGTGCGTGGAGAGGATGTGTATGTGAGCCCGGAGTGGGTGGGGCACCCGGTGTGTGTGTCCAGGCTTGTCTGGCTGGAGTACGTGTACAATATGCGGAGGTACTCGTGCGGGCTGGACACGAGCTTTAGCTTGGTGCCGAGCGAGCGAGTGGACGAATACGGAGGAGAGGTGTACACATATGTGCGAGAGCCGGAGAAGGACAGGGCCCACCTTCCCGACAGCATTGCGAGTGCAGCAGCGTTTGCAAGAGACGAAGGGTACAGCATGCAGTTCCACCGGGCGCTGGTGCATATGTTCGGGCTGCAGAAAGACGGCGGGTCGACATACGACTGCATAGCGGTTGAAACTGGGCGGCCGTGCTCTTTCACAGAGTTTCTTTGGGAGAGCTGCAAAACTACAAAAGAGGCGCACTATGTGCTGGCTGCGCTGGTCCTGCTGAGCGAGGGCATTGACGTGCCGATTCGGACCGCTGGGAACAAAGTGATTGTAAAAAAAAGAAAAGACAGCGAGGACGTGCTGGTGGATGTGTGCGTGCCAGCTGTGAAGAGTGGAGAAAGTCCGCCGTCCGAGACGTGGCAGGTGGTGAACTTCTTCAAGCGGTACAGAGGCATATACAGACTGCCAAGCACATACGGAGAGTTTAAAACGGGAGACTTTCTGGAGAGCCCGCAGCTTCTTATTCTCACGTACATCAGAAAATACGTGGAAAACGCGGAGGAGCTTATGTCTGTGATGGAGTGCATGTTTGCGCTTATGGAGGGCATGGGTCTGGTGGAAAGCTTAAAAGACCCAGGCAGCGTGGTGAGCCGGCTGTTTGTGCCTGCGAGCCGGCTGCCTGAGGCTCAAGCGCATCTCACGCCGTTTCTAGAGGGGCTTTCCGCTCTAGCGGCCTTGGAGCACTTGGAACAGTTTGACTGCCTTCAAAGAGAAGCCAAATATGCGGTCCTAATTGACAGAGCCTTAAACGGGAAGAAGGAGTACTTCGACAAGCGTGGCACGAACTGCAGGTTTCTTGGTGCGTGTCTGCTATTGCCGTGCCTGGCATACGACCCGGAGAAGAACGCGTACAGCCTGGAGGGTCTGCTGGCCGGGGCAGAGGAAACAACAGAGGTGGCCAAAACCAGGGCGTTTTTTGAGGCGGTGAAGACACACATAGAAGAGAGCTGCTTTTTGGGCTGGCCGAAGGAAGACCAAGCGCAAAAACGAAGAGACCTGTGGCTCATGGTGCATGCGCAGTTCGTGGAGGCGCTGGGGAGTTTGAAGCCGACGTTTCTAAACCAGATACGCGCGCTTGCGCAGATGACCGGGCGGCCGCAGACCGTGGTGAACGAGCTGGCAGCGCACCAGGCAGCCATGGATGCTGAAGGAAGCACAGAGCTGACCACTGAGGCGATCGAGAGCGTTCGGGCGCTGCTGCGCTCGATAGCAGTGGACAAAGATGTGGAGGTGACGATTGAGGAGGGCTTCAAATACTTTGGAGCCAAAGGCCGCATGCTTACAATAAATCATGTGCCCGAACGCACCAATATATGTGAAATGACGGTGGTGTTCACACAAGAAAAGACTTGGATGACAAATCTAGACCTGCCACGCCGAACTCTTTCTAGCATAGAGGAGAATGTGTTGGGTGTGGCGGTCGCACAGTACAGGAAGGAAGCGCGGCTTTCGGGCTTTGTGCTTGCAGAGTGCGTGTACCGAATCGCGGCTGCTAAGAACACTTTAAACTTTCCAAGCACACCAGTCGAAGATGTGCAGGAAGCTGCGCGGTGGGCAGTTGAGTGCAGTCCGACCAGGCCAACCGGCGTGCTTATGGCGCTGCCAGCTATGAGCAATTACTTCAGGGAGGGGCTTGTCACAGCGCTGGTGCTGTATGCAGAGCAGAAGAAGATTGTGCTGACCCCGGCACACCCAGTGGGCCGGCTGGTTGCGAACATGATAGGGAGCATTGACCTTAGCGACTCGATGAGCCGGAATTGTGTCCTGAAAGTGCCTGCAGTCGTCAGCACTCTGCGGGTGCTGTGTCCAGCGCTGCAGCTGTCCGAAAAGTCGCAGATGGAACTTTGGAATTTGCGCGCGCATGATGTGCATTTCGTGCCGTATCCCTTCGAAAATACCAATTTGCTTATTCGGGAAAGCCTTATGTCGTATCTTCGGGCGTACGCAGAGAAACAAAACGAGCCGCTGTTCAGGTGTATTCTGCTGCATAGGCATTCAATTATAGAAATGTATATCACGTATCTGTTTACGGCGGACCCAGTGGCATCCCTAGAAGAGGTATGTGCGCTCGTTTTGGCAGATCACACGGGAGAAGACCTGGTGACGGCCAAGGCCCTGACCAATGCGCTGCGGCTGTCCTGGCTGGCGGTTCTTTTGGGGAGGGGCTTGGAGGAGAATCAAGACGCAATTGTCGAGATTTACAATATCGTTGAGCCGGGGTATCTTGCAAAAGAGCTTAGTGACCTTTGCAATTTTTGGCTTGACATAAATCTAGAATCTACCCTAGACGGCCTGAATGAAGCAAGGAATATTCTTGTAGAGGAAGGCGGCTGCGCAAAGTTTGAAGCGCTGTATGAACTCTACCGCCAAGTATGCATTAGATTCCGGGGTTGACTCGAAAGCATTGGCTGAAGCCCCTCCTTTGCCTGCTTTCGGGCTGCGCAGTGCCCAAGCGGCGAAGCCGCGGGTGTGGTGTGGCTGCTGTCAACCATTCGTTCCATGCCACAAATAGGCAAGTGCGGGCTCTCGCAGGCAGCGCAGAAGTGCATGCACTGCGTGCTGTTCTTTGGCCGACTCTCTATGGAAAATAAAACAGAAAAAACATGTGCGCTTTGGAGCAGGCAACTGCCAAGTTTGTTTAGTGGGCGCGGGAGAAGAAGGCCGCAGGCTGAAATCTAGTCTAGAGAAGTTTTATTTTTGCTTTGCAGGGCCGGAAGGAAGCTTCCGAATGAAAAGGGTTTTTAGAAGTGTGGTTCTATTTTTTGGCACAAGTTGTATAAAAACGCAGCGCATGCATATATACTGCTAAGAGCAAGAAATTAACAGAATAGTGCGCAGGCGCATTTCTCTAGCCGGCGGGCCGTGCCATTTGGCCGTGCGCGTGCATGCGCACCAGGCAACTTTCCTAGTGTATTCTGGACTTGAGTATGTCCATCACGCCGTTGAACACCTCCGCTCTGTTGGGCGCCTGCTGCAGGGCGCTCTGGTGGGTGTTCAGCGCCTCCAGAATCGCAGAGGCTTCTTGGCTGCTGACAAAAGCCATGCAACTGGCTTTATTGCATGCCGGGATCGACCTTGGCCCAAGCCTGCTGCCCAGAGCAAGCACCAGCTCGTGCGGGATGCCTTTGTCTTGCAAGCTGGCGAGGAACACGAAGAGGTCGAAGACCGCCTTGGTGTCCAGCGCCTCCTCCCGGTCTTTCTCCTCCACATCCATAATAAGCGCGCTAATTTCGTCTGTGTGGCGCGTTGACTTGTCTGCAAGTAAAACGGGAAACAAGAAGTTAGAGGCAGCGGTAAAGCTTGTTAGTTTGCAGCACCGGAAAAGAGGCTTGTCTGCTTTATCTTTGTACTCTCTGAGGTATTTCATAATGGCGTTTGCTGTGGGCACGCAATTGTCTTCGGTGTAGCTCCTTAGCTTGGCGATAGTGTGTGTGTTTCTATAGATTCTAGCAGCTATTTGCTTTGACAGGGCGATTCTTGGAAACAGCGTGCCCAGCATGTCCAGAGAGACTATGTGCTGCATCCCATCGATTTGCATTGCATAGTCGTCCAGCGGAAGGCTGCCGAGCATGTTTGAGAGGAGGCGCACGCCCGGATGCTCCTGGGCGAGCTCGATGCCGTTTGCTGCTGCATGCCCGGTGAAGTCCTCGGCGAATTCTTGTATCTGTTCATATCTCAGGGCTTTTCCGTGCAAGAAAAGCTGGTTTGGGTGCTTCAGGACCTCACTTGCCGTTAGGCGGTCTGCGATCTCCGGAATGTCATCAGTAAAGCTTGGTTCGTAGAGGTCCGCGTCTCTGGCCCTCCACGCGTCTGCGTACTTGGCAAGCAGGCATTCAGCAAAAGTCTCGGGCTCTAGACAGCTGTCCACCGCAAAGAAGGCCTCTTTTTCTTCGCTGTTAATAGAAAGAAAGACGCATGGGCACAAAGTAACTGTAAGGTGCCTGGGCTTAAAGGCAATGCATATGCCCTGCTCTATCACGCTGTCTTTGTCTGTGTACTTCAGAGTGATTTCTCCGTAGAGGTCTTTCTTCTTATCACTTCGGACGTCGACCATCAAGCCGGAGAATTCGACTTTTAAGGATTTGTCCACAGAGAGGGACGCGAAAAGCTCTGCCACGTACTCCTGTGCTTTTTCAAACACGTCCTCAGAGGCTTCGCGAATTTTGCAGCCTTTTAGCATCTGCGCAAGCTCGCGTATTCTCGGCTCCTCCTGCTCTCGTCTGCCCGTCACCTCCGCCACAACGTAGAGAGCGTTGAAAATTCCGGAGCGTACCTCGTTTCGGCTCTCCCTTTTGTACGCGATGTGCTCGCTCTGCAGGTCAGACACGACGCGGTTCCACTCCTGCATCGTCTCTTTGGTGGCGCACACCTTTGGGGTGACACTTTCTAACTGGAAGAATGTATGCAGGGCCTCTGTTTCCTCACCCTCCTTTTCCTCGCCGAGCATGGCGTCTGCGTCGTACTCTTTCTGGACTGGGTCGTGTGCAAGGCAGCAAAAGAGCGCAAGCAGGCCGGTCTCCACGCAGTTGCTGAAGGTTTCATTCAGAAACTTGGTTTGGCCTCTCTTGCAGGCGCGCACGCTTGTGTACGCCGGCAGCATGTTTGGGCTGGCGAACGGGAACGAGTCCAGATTCTTCATGGCTTTCTGAATCATCCTAAGCTGGCACAGGAACTCGTCTCCCTCGGCCTTGCTCCTCACAAAGCACGCGCTGTATACGTCTTTGCAGTCTTTTTCCGGCAGGCTTTTGAGGATGCTGTGCACGCACGCTGCGAAGTCCAGGGCGTCGTCCTTGCTCGTGATGTACTCAAAGATGTACGCCTGGATGAGGAACTGCGGCGTGTTTAGAAAGTCGCCGGTGTTGAAGTCGCTTTGCGTGCACGGCAGTTTTCCTTTGCCTTTGCTGTCTTTGAAGAAGTTTATGACCTGGGCAGCCTTTTTGCACGAGTCTGCTCCAACTTTTATGCTGCCTATCTCCAGTGTGATTGTTTTCTGCGTGGCCTTGATGGGCACGTCTATTCCCTCGCTCAGCAGGAGGAGCGCAGCCAGCACGTAGTGCGCGTGTTTGCTGGGCATTCTCTGCAGAGCCTGGAAGAAGGAGTCATCTCGGGCGACAGCAACCGACAGAGTGTGCCCGTCGACAGACGGAAACATCTCGATGAGGGTGCGGTGGTACGTCACAGTGTAGTCTGTGCTCGCAGGCTTGGAGCCCCGAGCGGGTCCCTCTGCAGGCGGATATGGTTTGTCATTCTGCGCGTTTCTTGTGTATTTGTGCTCTTCTGTGGTTTCAACATCCCCAACGGGCTCCACTTTGTAGTCGGTTTCTATTTCAGGCGAAAAGAAGCGCTTGTTGTGCATGTAACTCAGCTCGGAGTACACAAACC